GATGGTACTGCATCTGATTCGGTGTGTGCAATAGGTTCAGGTTCTCTGACTTCCTCTGTAGTCAATATGTTACTCATTTTAGTCGTCCGTAGATTTTCCTGCAGATAAATGTTATTCGACTCTGCCACAAAAGAAGATGGTACTGCATCTGATTCAGTGTGTGCATTAGGTACAGATGCTCCCAAGGTCAAAGAGCCATTGGAACCAGGAGCCAACTGATTAGTATCTAGAGACTCAATATTGTTGGTAACGAACGTTTGTTTCAAATAGGTTCCATCATGTTGCAGCACATCTGTCCCCCCATCCTCACGCTCATTGCTGACTTTGGTTACTTCCTTCATTTGGGTTTTGACAGATTTCTCCTCCTGTATGTTTATAAGAGCAAATACATGACGTGGAAACCAGTTCATCACATGTCTTATTTGTCGCCGCAAAGCAAGAGTTAACTCAGCTGAAATCTATGAAAAATTGTGGACATCAGAAATATGGTCCTCCTGAAGTAACTCCGGTAAAACTGTAACACCTCTTGCTAATGTGTTAAGAAAAAATTATTCTTACTTTTAAGTACCAATGACTAAAAAATTTGACTTACTACAGATGCCAATGACCAGAAAACGTCAGACATAATATTTTCAGTTTCTATAAATTTATCCAACAACTAAGAGTTGAGATGGTAGAAGACTCAATGTTTCCAAGATGACTTCTAAGACCAAGAACTTGTCTGAAGAGAAACATAGTTCTGAGATATTAACAACTAGTATAATATTTCCCTTCCATATTACTGAGATATACCACTCCAAATTACTAATTGTAGATTAGCAAATTAAGAGTTAGCCTTGTTGCAATCAAACAGCATGTACTGAACCAATGATGATCTATGTTAAATGATGAGAATAGAATTTAGCTATGGACATCTACATTCTTGATTCTACACAACACAATAGAATCACTAAGACGTATACAGACTCAAGATACATCCTCATTCTGTATCTGGCAACAGAAGTTTACTAGTAAAGTTATACACCGAGTAATTGCTAGGCTTTCAAGAAATTGGAGTCTTTCAAGAAAAGAACCGTAAAAAGTGAATCGGTAGTGTTATTCACAAAGTAGAGTTTACCTCCTTGAACTTGGCGTTGGCATTGGCATTGGTATTTCTTTTGGAATATTCAAGAAAGAAAGTTGTAAGAGCAGAGATAGTGACAACGGATGCAAAAACTACAGTTAGTGAGTCAAGAGAAGCATAGTTCTGAGATATTAAGAACTAGTATATTATTTCCCTTCCATATTACTGAGATAAACAACTCCAAATCACTAATTGAAGATTAACAAATTAAGAGTTAGCCTTGTTGCAATCAAAGAGCATGTACAGAACCAATGGTGATTGATGTGAATAGAATTTAACTACATTCTTGATTCTACACTAGAAAAATTTCAATTGCTAGGTTTTCAAGAAATTGGCGTCTCTTTCAAGAAAAGAACACCGGTAATGTTATTCAAAGAGTAGAGCTTACCTCGTTGAACTTGGCGTTGGCATTGGTATTTCTTTTGGAAAATTCAAGAAAGACGACTGTAAGAGCGGAGATAGTGACAACGGATGCAAAAACTACCGTTTGCGAGTCAAGAGAAGCTCTGAGAACAAATCTTGAAGTGTTGCCGCCGAATTGAAAGCCGATATTTCGACATCTCCTCCGCGAGTGAAGGCAAGGAGGCCGTAAAGAATGGGTAGAACCGGAGAGGAATTGGCGGCGAGGAACGAGAGAAGAGGAGATTGGAGAACAAGAAAGGAGAGAAAGGGTGTGAGGTTTTGGAGAGAAGATTGAGTCCATGAAATTGGAGAAGAAGAGGAAGTGGAAGTGGAGAAGAAGAGGAGTAAATTAAAGGAGTATTTATTCATCTTGAAGATAGCGTCATGACTGGATAGGAAGTTATAAGCCATGAACCATTTGACGGAAGGAACCAAGTTGCTTACGTGGCCTTTTATATATCAAAATCCGAGCCGTTACAGATATTTTTATTCTTCTTTTTTTATTTCTTTTCTTTTGTGATAAAATACAAAAAAAAAAAAAAAAAAAAAAAAAAAATACTCACTAGAACTACTCCCTTCAATTCATATCATGTTTTTCTTTTTGAGTCAATTTACTAAATGGTAGGAAATTGTCATAAAATATTATTTATGTTTCATTTAGAATTAAAATATCACTTAATTATCACTACTTTTTTTCAAATATACTTAAGACTTCAAAAGTTTCACTCTCTCCTAATTGGCATGTCATGTCATTGAAGGTTTTTTTCTTTTTTTAAGAATAGACTTATTTAATTCATCAAACTCATTTAACTAAAACAATGATTTTATTATTTTCTAAAAAGTATACATTAGTTTATTAAGAAGAAATTTTCATGCTTAAGAATTTTTTATCATAATTAATTTTTTATTTTTATGCTATGAAGAATAGTATTTTAAAACTTACTTTAATGTTATCAATTTTGAATACTTATAAACACATATATTCAAAAAATATTGATATATAAATCACTCATGAATGTCAACTTACATCAATTAATCATATATTATATAATGGATCAATAATATTAAAGTTCAATTAACTATTAAAAAATAATTACTTGGGTACTTTGAAATCCATACTTACAATATATTTGTTTAAAAGAAAATAGAAAGTGAATAATATTTATATTAGAAAATAAAATTTTGATCTTTATTTATCAGTATATTAATCTCATATAATATGTATATTATTGAATTAAAATAGGCAATTCAATTAATTATTACTAGTATTCCATGAATTTGGGATGAGATAAGAATATATATTGATGTTTAATTGTATGATAAGTTAAAATATAATGTAATATAGCAATAAAAGAATAAAAATAAAAAATTAAATTAAAAAAAAAAAGTTAATAATAATTTTCTCTTTCTTACTAACTTTTTTGTCAACCTCACAAATTTATTTGAATACTTTTATAAAAAAAAAAATGCTTAAATTTTTCAAGTAAAATTTACTTAGGGATTTTGAAAATTGTCAAGTAATTATTGCACACAAAGTTTTTTTCATTAAATTTTGTTTAGTAAAAAAATATAAGGAATTAATTTTTTAAAATTCTTTCATAATCTTTATAAATTCTCATGTAATTTATATACTTGTTTTTTAGAGACATAAATTTGATGAATTAAATAGGTATGTTATTTTTTAAATGATGATTTAATGATATGATATATCAACTAGAATAGAAGGATAATTTTGAGATATTTAATTATTTTTTTTTGGATAAAAATAGTAATAATATTATTCACTTTCTAATTTTTTTCAAGAAAAAAATTATTGTAAGTATGAATTTCAAAATACATAATTGATTTTTATTGTAATAGTTAATTCACATTTAATGTTATTGATTCATTATAAAATTTATGATTAATTGATGTAAGTTAGTATTCATGAGTGTTTTGTATATAGGTTTTATTTTTGAATGTATGTGTTTTATAAGTATTCAAAATTGATGATATTATAATACGTTTTAAAGACTTATTTTTCATGACATAAAAAAATAAAAAGTTTAATTATATTAAAAGATTCAATAAGTATGAAGATTTATTCTTAATAAACTAGTATATATATTTAAAAATAATATGATCATTATTTTAGTTAAATCAGTTTAATGGATTAAATTAGTCTATTATTAAAAAAAAATACTTTAATGCCATGCCATGCCAACTAGGAGAGAGTGAGGCTTTTGAAGTGTCAAGTATATTTGGAGGAAAATTGTGATTGTTGAGTGATATTTTGGTCCTAAATGAAACATAAATGATATTTCATAGCAATTCCCTAAACTTGGGTGACCATTTAGGGAATTGACTCTTTTCTTCTTTCTTTAAAAAAATTACTAATTAAAAAAATAAATTAATTTATTTTAAAATTTTATTTGATATTACTTTTTAATCTCTTCATATTTATTGAATAAAGATTAAAATAGAAATTTACTATAATGACAATTATTTTAGTAAGCTCAAGTTCACAACAACCAAAACGGACCGGATGAAATAGTATAAAACTTTGTTTTGTTCCCCATTTGATGTTCTATGGCACGACTAATTCAAATTCACAGTGAGAGATTTCATTTTAAAGAGTAAAATTATTTCATGTGAAAGAAGTAATTAAAAATAAGAAAATATGTATTGCTCTATCACAATCTTTAACGATTGTGCTACTTATGATAAGTTTAAATAACAAGATTTGCAGCATAACTTATATCTTGTAACATGTATGTAAAAATTATTGAAAGTAAAATAACACTCATGTCTAAAAATAGTATCAATAAAATAATCTCAATATCATTTCACATAATACTATAATTATTTAGAGAGTCCTTATTATTATCTTAGTTGCTAGTTGCTACCACATAAAGTAAAATAAATTATAAATATTTCAAGAATTAAGGTAATATTATTGTGCCTAAAACTTAATTATAAGTATTATGAGTCTATTACTTAAATGACGATTGGATTTTTTAAAGTCACTTTAAAAAGTCATTTAATTATGCATATTTACATTCAAAGGATTACTCAATCGGTCAAATACACGTCTTACCGTCCAAATTATCAACCTTTGTTGCTATTTGCTTTTTCCAATACAATGTTTATTTTAATATATATTATGAAATTAACTAGCACAACCTTTGTACATCATAATTTTTATATATACTTTTTCATTCACAACTATGATTTTTTATTTTAGCTTATTATTATTAAAATTACTCATAGGAACAAATTAACCCAAACATAATAAGAACTTACATAAATATGTACACTTCTGATTTATCAACAAGGCAAAAGTATACACTATTTATATAATCCAATTGTGTATATATATAAATATATTATATGTAGATTAATCATGAACATGATATATATTCTCTTTTGTAAATTAGTGGGCCTAAAGAAATTGGGCTGTTGTCCATAATTGGAGTGGATAACGCGTTACATGAAGTCCAAACCCAAAAAGGCCCAACTCTGTTGTCAAAGTGTTCCACCCGCCAACTTCCTCAAACAAACAACGCCTTAAACCCTGCGAATTTGGCTGTGAACGTCTTCCTCATACTCTCTAAAACAGTATAGTAGTATTTTTTTTATGGCGGAAATGGATATTAATGGGCAAGTCGAAGAGGCTGCAAGGCGTGTACAGGTCCGGTTCGTAACGAAGTTGAAACCCCCATTTAAGGCCCCGCCTACTTCCATTGCTATTCCCTCCAACCTCACCCGATTGGGCCTCTCTTCCATTGTCAACAACCTCCTTAAAGCTGGTAACTTCTAGTTCTAACAGATTCTGCCTATTATTAGTTTTCTTATTTTTGTCAAGTGGAATGTAGATCATATAGCTAGCTGAACTAGTTTTTGACTTAGGCGTAGTTGATTGATTGGTTGTGTTATAAGTTTGAATTGTTGTGAAAATGGTTCACTTTTTGTCGTGGATAAATAATTATAATTGTAGATGATATGGTCGTTTATACTGAAGTAGATTTTTGTGGGTAATGATGAACTCATGCTAATTGTCAATTTGTCTTAATTGACTAGCTTACCTCATTTGACTAACATTGACAAGTTGAATAGATTGCTAGTTGTGGTCCGAGAGCTTTGTTATTATGGGTTAATGGTGCCATAATTGAGTTACTTCATCCTTAGAAATGACTATCAAAATGTTTGTGTCTTAATTTGAGTCATAGATAAAAGAGTCAGGTTTTATATTTAACTAAATAAAAGGACCTGTTCTCACCAATTCTGCTATTTGTGTTTTTACTAATATGCTTACCTGTTTTTCATTTGATTGTTATTAGGAAAGGATGATTGGAATCCCGAGCCTTTCGATTTTCTCATTGATGGAGAACTGGTTCGCATGTCACTTGAAGAGTTTCTCCTTGCCAAGGGCATTTCAGCTGTAAGTCTCTTTCCTGATATCACTACTTGACTGCTAGAATGAACAGTTATGTCTCTTCAGACCAACTCAAAAATCAAAGGTACTCATGGAGAACTGTTTTCTTTATCTTATACAGGAGAAAATATTAGAGATTGAGTACATTAGAGCTGTGGCTCCAAGAAAACAAGAAGAACCATCTTTGCATGACGACTGGGTCAGTGCAGTTGATGGTTCTAATTCTAAGTAAGCATGAGTGTGAAATTTGTTTTTCAAGAACCTTCAGTGTGATCCTTGTAATCTTTTCTGCCTTGTGTATCTTTCTTTGTTTGATATATTTAGGACTTGGTGTGTGTATGCTTCGCTTCTAAAGGAACTTCTGTATAAAAGAGAATATTGGATGATCCCGAAAAAAAATAGAGAGCCCTCATAATATAACTTAATGGACGGTTTCATGTCTTTGGCTATTGCATCTCTGTACCTTATACGTTGTGCATTCATTTCACTCATAGATATCTGTTACACACTAGATTACCGAGGACAATGTTGTTGATATTATTACATTGTGCTGCTTTTGTTCCAAGTGTTTTTGAGTTAATGTGCTTTTCCCCCCTAAAATATGGGATGGTGATAGTTAAGAATGTAATAATGGTCTTCTTTCCATACAATGAACTATTGCCTTAACTGACAATATGTGCATATTTGTGATCTGTCAGGTTTGTTTTGACTGGATGTTATGATGGCTTAGGAAGGTAATCCGCTGATTGTATATTCTTTTGCTAGTTGCATTTTTTGGTTCAGAACTCGGCTTTATTTATTTTTTCTGTTATTACATCAACCTAACATTTGATAGTGCTAAGCAGAATATGGAAGGCTGCCGGATCTTGTACACATCTATTGGAGGGCCATACTGGGGCAGTTACTTCTGTTTGTGTTGTCAACCCAAGAGGTATCAGAGGGAGATAGTTTCTCCTCGGTTGCTCGTTTTCTAGCATTATGCTTTACCGTCTGCTGCCATTATCATTTATCTGTGACACCAAAAGTTCATAGGTTACAGAGGGAGATAGTTTCTCCCCAGTTGCTTGTTTTCTAGCATTATGCTTTACCGTCTGCTGCCATTATCATTTATCTGTTCATACTCTCACATCACCTGCTTTTGATATTTGTTTTTTCGAATAATATTTCTTGTTGATATCCATTCGATTAACTAGCCATGCAATGCTGTAAATACACTGGATACCAAAAACTTTTACCAGCGTGAGAATCATGGGGACATATAATTTGAATTTCTCCTGGATGTTTACTTCTTTGTGTTTCATTTCTTCCTCAATTCTGTCTCTGTGTTTTTCATAGTTATACCTTTTATTTTCTTAAGTGGCTCAAGATGGTGCTGATCAAATAGTCGCTACGGCTTCCAAGGATAGGACACTGCGGCTCTGGAAGGTAACATGATGTGCCTGCAGTACTTATAACTCTGCCTAATTCGTGATCTTCCTCTAATTAGTATTTGTTTGGCTTAAAAGTTTGATGCAGATGAGCCTTCAGATCAGATAAATAGGATTAGAGCCTATAAAATTTTACATGGACATAATGCTTCTGTTCAAAGTGTTGCAGCAAATCCTGCTGGAGATATGGTCGTGCATCTCTTCACTTAATTGATCATTTGAAGCTTTTTAATTACGTATTTGATTATATGATGTTTACTGACTCCCTGTTTTTGTTGTGTTGGACAGGTGTGTTCAGGGTCCTGGGATTGCCAAATAGCTCTGTGGCAAGCAAGTGGCTCAGATACAGGTGATGTAGTTTCAGTGAAGAAAAGGAAGAAGGGTGCCGAAGAGGAGGATCCTCAAGTAGAAGTATGACCACATTTCTTCTAACTTGTCTAGGTTAAAGATAGAAAAATACATCTATTTCATGCCACATAGTGTTAGAAATCCATGACCTGTTTAATCGGATAATGTGTCTGTTCTAACTTCTACCTTATCCCAAAAAAAGGGTAATGTGTCTGTTCCCAAAACCAGTGAAAAAGAAGGAAAGAACAGTTTATGGCTGTTGTTACTATTTGATTTCGAAAACTTTCCAGTGCAAGGCATACACGTAATAAACAATCTACTTTTACTTTTTGGCAAAACTTCTTCTTCCCTGAACCCTACTTTGAATCCTTCTTCATCCTACCTCTCATATGCCATGCCCATCCAATTGTCCCACCCTTCTTCCTGCAGTTCCTCCAACTTTGTGTTGCTACTCCCTCCATTTAAAATTATGCCACATAGTTTGAACCAGCACGGAGTTTAAGAATAAAATGAAGATTTTTGGTACTTGTGGTCTAAAATATGCCATAACATTTGTGTGGCTGTAAAGATTTTGAAACTGGAGCTCGAAGGAGTAATTATTCTTCTTCCTTCCCCCTACCTGTCATCCCTATCTGTCCCGTAGATTCCTCCCTTGTTCCTTATCTACCACCTTGTTGCCATTATATTCTTCTCTTCAAAGTTGTTTCAGCAACAATTTTGTGCCAGTCCAACCTGTCTCTGACTTTCTATGTTGTATCTCATTGACAATTGATATTGATTAGCAAAATCGTTTGTCCCTTTTGATGAAAGACAAACAACCTTCTGATTTCCTTAAATGACAATGTTCATCAATGCAACTGAAGGACCAAACTAATGTTGAAATTGGTGTTTGAAATATGTCGGTCTTTGGCTCACTCTGAGTTGCTTGATCTTTGTTCTCTCTCTCTCTTCCTTTTTTATTGTTTTTTCTTTTCTTTTTAAAAGATTTTTTAATGATTGTTATCCTAATCTTGTAAATAATTTTCTATCACATCTTATGCTCACAGGAGGAGGCTAAATCTACACTTGTAGGACATTCACAATGTGTGTCTACCGTGGTGTGGCCACAAGATGAAGCAATATATTCAGCATCATGGGATCACTCTATTAGAAGATGGGATGTTGAGTTGGGCAAGGATTCATTGAGCCTGGTGACATGCCATCTCTTTTCTTCTGTTCTTCCAGTCACATCTTTACTGTCATGTGCATGTTTTCCTAAACTTACATACATATGGATTGGAGGGGGAGAAGTAAATATCAACTTGCTGAATATGAAATTATGAAAAAATTGTGGAAGGTGTAGCACTCAAATATGCCAATCCTAGTGATATTGCTTTCATTTTTTGTCAGAGATAACATTTCTCTTCAGCAGTTAACAATCATATTTTTAAAAATTACACCATCTTGAAAAAAAAGATACCTCCCCATCATGACAAGTAGCTGGGTTTGAACTTTGGTAATACCAAAATGTATAGTTCTTTTTTAAGTCTATTCTGTTGAGAGCTTGAAACTATATTTTCCTAAAAGTATATGGATAATGATCACCTTCCTCTTCAACAGTATTGCGACAAAGTCATTAATTGCCTTGATGTTGGAGGTGAAGGTTCTGCCCTCATTGCTGCTGGTGGTTCTGACCCCATTCTTAGGATATGGGATCCTCGCAAACCAGGTTTCTTTCTTTTTCTGTACAACTTGCAGAAGCACTTTTAAACATCCACTTGAACTTAAATTCCTTGTCTCTATGTGCTTAAATATCTTTTCTCTGTGTTTATTGTCCAAGTAACTGATGACCTTACATCACATATTGATATATACTCTTTCATTTACCACTTAACAGGTACTTCGGCTCCTGTCTATCAGTTCTCATCGCACAGTTCTTGGATATCCACCTGCAAGTGGCATGAAAAGTCACGGTTTCACTTGCTTTCTGCATCGTATGATGGAAAAGTAATGTTATGGGACTTGAGAACTGCGGTTAGTACTACACTTTTTACGTCTCTATTATTACTAGTATGACTTTTTATAAGCACTTACATTTTCTGTTCCTGGGTAAAACAATTTGTGTTGCAGTGGCCTCTTGCTGTCATTGACACTCACAATGACAAGGTACTAATTTTGCCTTCTAAGATTTGGTTTAAGAGTATTTGTTCTACTACATAGCATTTCCTAAACATGAGGTTGTCAATACAGGTACTGTGTGCGGATTGGTGGAAAGGTGAAAGTGTAGTTAGTGGTGGGGCTGACTCGAAACTTTGCATCTCTTCTGATGTTTGTGTGTTGTGATGTAGAGGTAAATTACTCTCTTTTCGGTGGAGTAGAATAGGTTATTTGAAAAAGGATTAGAGCTCATGATACATTTGGTTTTTTATCGCAGACTAATGGCTGATGTGTTTTACTAACCAACATATTTGAAGCACTCGATCCCTTGATTGAAATGATGGTAGCTGCGACAATTGTTCACTTGGCTAATTTTCTTTCAGGATTGATCTCCCCTCCCCTGTAGCAGAGGCGACTGTGCTCCATAAGAATGATGCGATTTTGCTAATAGAATTCATTGGGTCAAAGCTGAAGTTGTGATAATTTACTTAAGAAAACAATTTTGTCTGTGCTAACTAGAAATGGTTTGTATCATATATTCCTGTGAGTTAAGAGTGAATTGAAGCTGTATTCCTTGGATGTACTTCTTTCTTTTATTACGATATATTTACCCTCAAGCAAATTGGTCAAGAGTTAGCATTTTTAACCATTGAACTATCCTATTGGGGAACACTGATTTCATGTGTTATTGAGCAACTGCAAGTTATCATCAAGGAATGTGACGAGTTGATTGACCTCCTTGTTTCTTAATTAAAGATTTCATGTTCGAACAGAAACATTTAAGTAATATTAATAATTTTTTGCTGTGAAAATGGAAGACAAAATCACAATTAAGTTGTATGTTCACAAAGCACGTGTTAAAATTTTCCGGTACAAATACGCGAAGCATCGATCCATTATTCTTAGCGTGTCCAACTCGAAAGCGTTGAAGCCACAAAAACGAAGCCCATCGAATCCAAAACAGCATCTCACCCGGCCCACTAAACTCTAAGCCTGGCCCATGAAAAACCAAATTACGTGTACACTATGGTATACGTGCCCCGTAAAAATTGGACACGCGTCACATATTAAAGGACCCAACTCGAGACAAACAGTAAGCAAAAAAAAAAAAGTTTCAAATCCCATGAGGTCACAAAGACTTCGTACAATTGCCCACCCTAACCGCCCCATCTGTCCCAACCACACAATATAACATTTTTTCCTGAAAATTATATAAAGAAAATATATATATCTGAACTTGGTATAAATTATTAATGTTTTTTTGTGAAAATTATTTAAAGAAAATATATATATATCTGAACTTGATATAAATTATTAGTTTCATAAACGATTGACAATCTTAGAAATACTTTTTAGTGGATTTGACTATTCTTAAATACACATCCATAAGCAAAATATCAAATGATCTCAAACTCGGATAAAAGTGAGCAAAGTGCTTATTTTTAACCTACACTGAACATAAGGTGTCCTTTTCTGACATCGTTTTCTCTAGAACTCTCTTTCAAAAGAAGTAGAACACATAAGTCATACTAATATACATTGATTTGAGACACACCTTTTTTGGAAGAGAAGAGAAAAGAAAGTTGATCACGAGGAGAAAGTGAGTTGTGTTGACAAGGAATTAAATTAAAAATGGAGAAAAATGAAGTTATGAAGACGAAAAGTAGTGAGAGTCAGGTGATGGACGGTTCAGATATAATGAAGTTAGTTGGAAATGAGGCTGTGTTTAGTAACTTTGTAGATCATAAGTTTCAAGAACTTGACATAGACAAAGACGGTAAACTTTCAGTTAAGGAGTTACAACCTGCTGTTGCTGATATTGGTGTTGCCCTTGGTTTACCTCCTCAAGGTTCTTCCCCTGAATCTGATCATATCTACTCTGAGGTACTCTCATTTCTCACTTCATAAATGCCATAAAAACTTGTCTGCACCCCATGTTTATGGAGTAGTATTAAATAAATGTATCCGGTCCACCAAAACTTAAACAAATACGAAGAAATTAACTAGGAGTAACATTTTTTTTTTTTGAACCTGATCTCGCGTAATTTTCATCCACTTCATTGATGCTGGTTCATATTCTTAAACAAATCTACACATGTATTCTGGTTAATTATGGGTTGAAATTGTAAATGCAAATTGTAAAAATGGTACCGGTATGGGGCCATAAGAGGCCAGATGTTTAATGATTACAGAGTGCTTGAGATGAGACAGCAACTCAACTGATATGTGATCTCATTTGTTTGACTCTCAAGTTTCAAACTCATGATATGGATGCGGTTCCATTTGCACGCACTAAAGTATTTTTAAGGCATAGTACATAGATAAGATATTTTAATTTGGCCAAAACTATCAAATAAACACTTTAAACTTTGAAAATGCACATCTAGATACTTTGACTTGATTTAAGTTGGCCTATAAATACCACCCAACTTTGAGAATGCACTTCTAGAATGCAGCCCCTTGAAGGTGTCTAGATGTGTATTTTCAAAGTTAAGGTATTTGTGAGACGAACCTATGTCAAGTGGAAGTGTTCAAAAAAAAATTACACCATCTATAGATAACATAAAATCCTAGTTGAAAATAATAAATCTTCAAAATAATTATCTACATCTTTTGATGAACTTTTGGGGGTCTGTCTGTACTGTTTTTTGTTTTTTGTCCCCCTCCTTTTTTCCTTATCCATTTGGAATCACTATTGAAGAAGTGATGGAGATTGCCTAGAAATGTTTTTTTTTTAACTTTAATTTTTGACTCTGCTGAAAATGGTGAGAACTTTTTTTTTTTTTTTGAAAATGGTGAGATGGACAGACAAAATTTGGTTAATTCTAATTTTTAAAGATTGTTCTTAGAGGCAGCAATCATACTTTTTATGGACGGTTGCCTGTAAAAGTTCTTTACATTGTATAGAAGTTAAATTCTTCTCTAAATCGAGAAATATTTTGTTACTCCTTTTTATTAGTGAACTTGTTGTGACTTAGGTTCTTCAAGAATTCACACATGGAAAGCAAGAGAAAGTAAGCAAGACTGAGTTTAAAGAGGTTCTTTCAGATATTTTACTAGGCATGGCTGCTGGTCTAAAGCGAGATCCTATTGTACTCCTTCGTATGGATGGTGAAGATCTTCTTGAGTTCGTTAAAAGTCCTGCATTCGAACCAGAGATGCTTTCTCTGTACTCTGAGTTAGAATTGCCTGATGGATCCCTCAAAGATTACATCATCAAGGCTTTTGAGAAGCTTACAGTGGATCAAGGGATGCCTCCTGCATCAGACTCATGGGTAGTTCATTTATTCTCTTTAACGGCTTAACATTCATGTCTAGCTAGAATTTTTACACTATCAAATTACAAAAAATTGGTTACTTGCAAAACATGACAAATTAACGGTTACAAGTATAGTCTTTTAAATTGTCAGTGTATATAGAGGCTAATATGTGATTGCTCACTGATTCATACATTTGTTGCTTACTAGCCCGTGTAACTTCTTCATTACACATTTATATTTATGATGAGTTATTTGCTAATTACTAGAGCATATTACTCTGTTGTTATCTTGTTGTGTAGGTAATGACTAATGTGGTGGAGCCAGTAGTTGAGTCCTGCATTGGAGTATCTAATGAGCAACCTGTTACACAAGAGACATTTTTGGCTGAATTTAAGAAAGTTGCTGAGAGTGCTGCTCAACGTCTCAAGGAGCAGCCTGTCATTGTTGCTCACAGCGAGAACACATTTGATGGAAGTGGAATTAAAAGACTATTGTCTAACAAGTTTGAATTGGATAAGGTATGTACATATATCCGTGGTGTTCTCTTCTGGACTTAATAATATATAGTAACATATCATACTACAAGAAATGAAACTTTGTAGGGACTAAAGTCATACAAGAAGTGGAAAAGTTGCCACAGAAGACTTTTCCTAGTGGTCTGAGGGTCGTCATATTCTTGCATCTCTTGTTATTTAGTTGTTTATCTATGGTGCAGACGCTGGATTCTGCCTTAAAGACTATACCCAGAGATCGCCATGGGAAAATGTCAAAGGAATACCTACGAGTTGCACTTGATGTTCTTGCACCATCAGCTGGTTTACCTCCCATTGGTGCTGTCGACCAGGTATTTGTCAACTAAGGTTCAACTTATATGCACTAACAATATCAGCGTCTTAAACATATTGTAGCCAATAGTCCACCTTAATTTTCAAGTTACTAATCTTATCAGTGTAGAAGTTAAACTCATCAACTAATAGATGACATTTTTGCTTAATTAAAAGCTGGTCTTGTGTATGATATAGTTGTATCCCTCGTGTTTGCAGATGGATAAGGTCATACAAGAAGTCTGTAAGATGTTGGATGCCGACGATGGGAAGATGGTTAAAGAGGAAGAGTTCAAGAAGTTGTTGACTGAAATACTGGGCAGCATGATGCTGCAATTAGAAGGGAATCCAGTTTCGGTGTCCACAAACTCTGTTGTGCACGAGCCTCTTGCTTCTTCCTCTACGCTCTTGCAGCCTCCATCTATTTCTGAGATGTAACTGATCTTATGAAACTAGACAGAAAAGGAATAACAGGGGATGTATGATGTAAATTTCTGTTAAAATTAAAGGCTGAGAGATACTGCAGCATACATTTCAGCAATTAATAGTGTCATATTACTTGAATTGAATCAGTGTCTGTTTAAATAACTTAATCATCAACTATGGCAAGTGTAATTTAGTGAGTGTAACCATATTCAAATAAAATCATGAGCATAGACTATCATCATATTTACTAGTTCCTTTGTCCCGATTTATGTGAAAGATTTTTACTGGACACAGAGTTCAAGAGAAATGAAGACTTCTAAAACTTGTGGTTTAAAA